AAGATGCGTGAAAGTCTAGGTACTTTTCAGGAGCTCAGCTTACGGTAATTGGCCCGTGAATTAAGAAAACCGGAAGACGGCATGACCTCTAGCAATAGCCAACCCAGGGGCTCTTGCTCCTTCTGAAGTTTTTCCAACAACAAGGGCTTTTATCTACCGGGCTAGTAAGTCAATGCGCCACCTGGCTCTGACCTCAGTCTTTGCTTAAGCCTGTGAGTGACCAACTATCACAGCCACCCAGCAAAATAACCTGTGTCCCCCTGAAAATCCCAGAGCCCAGACCATTCCAGACCAGGCGCTATCCCCAGGGACCTGGATATGGGGGGGTGGGCACATGAGCCAAATGTAGAGACACACACATGCTATAAGGCCATCCTCCGCCCTGGACTTTCTCAGAAAGTTACACTTCTTCTTCCAAGCAAAGATAGATCAAGACAGCAGCTTAGCTTGGAAGTGTGTGGACCCTTTCCCCACCACTTTGCAGTGCCAAGTTCAGGAGTGAGCCACTGAATGATTCATTTCATGGTGCTTTCAAGTAAGGCAATAACTGGTATTGATACAAGCATGTGTAGCTCAGGCTGTGCGTTATTTACAGAATGCATTTTTATAAACCAGACACTTTTTCTTTCTGTGGTGCTAGGGATGGAACCAGGGCTCTGCGCATGGCACGGCAGTCACACACCGTACCCCTGGGCTGCGGCTGCAGTCCCATTGCTTTTCGTAGGAGGGCACGCTCCACCCTGCGGCTCCACATGCAAGGTTAGTAAATGCCAACTAAACCAGCAGGACAGATTAGCAGGTGCTGGGGACGGCAAAGGAAGCTGGTGGGAAGATCAACATTTAGACAGAGAACAACACTTGTCTGGGCTTGAAAAATAATTTTTAAAGCACTCACCAGTGCTTTTAAGTCTATTTTTTTTTTGGTACCAGGAATCTAACTCAGGATGTTGCACTTGCCAGGCAGGCCCTTGTACCGCTGAGCTGCTACCCTGGTCCCTTAGAATAAGGAAAAAGCTTAGTGTTTTACACATACTAACTATGTACATCTTTATCATTTACAGCACTCATTCACCACGACAGCTACAAGTCCTAGTATTAATGAATTTACTAACTTGGAAAATTTCCTTCACCTCACTGAACAAAGCACCACGTCAGATGAGTTTCTGGTCTAACTGGCAAAAAAAAAAATAATACCTACATCTATTATTGAAAATTAACAAAGTAATTTTGAAAACTTTGAAAACCTCAGTATGTTATTAAAGGTGTGTTTGCAAGTTTTCTAATTCACTGCTTGGTTTTTGAATCTTGCTATACACTACTTGAACTATTACATTCTATCCAAACCACATAATCACTCCGTACATCCAGTTAAAGGAAAGTAGCTGTACAGAATGCACAACGGGATTCTATGTAAAGCCTGGAGTCAACCTTCTGGGGCAAAGGTTGAATCCCTCTTCCCTGGAGATTTTTTTTTTTTATTTTAAAGAATAAAAGAAGGATAACATAATAATAGGGGGGACTTAGCAAATTACAGACAAAATGGTAGGAAATTATCAATGGTTATCATTTTACATATTATTGTCTACAAAATAGTTTCTCAGGAAAACAAATAGATAAAAAATAGTGAGTTACAGACAAAAGAGGTAGGAGGTTATCAAGAGTTGTTGTACTATACTTTGGTATCTTCAAAGTGGCTTCTAAAGAAAATAAATAGAGCTATACATGAGTGACCTATTGAAAAATCATTAACTATTCTCAATGGTTGTTGTAGGAAACACATAATAATAAACATACATCCATTTATGAAATAGGATAGGAACATTACAAACTTTACACAGTTATGGATAGATTAGTAGGAAAATATCAATGGCTGCTGTAATACGTGGTGGTATCTTCAGAGTGGTTTCTCAGGAAGACAGAGATATGCAAGAGGGACCTATTAAGCAGTTACAGCCTAAGGGTTGTCAAAAATAGCATATTACCTCCTCACCAGTGACTCCTTTCACTGAGGTATGATGGCTGGAAGGAAGGCCAGGATTGAAAAGAAGGACCGAGAGACTTGCACCTGTGACTAGCAACAGGCTGTTTTCTTGTTCCTCCATAGTCATGATTACCCAGGGCTCCTCGATGGAGATGATGGTCTGGCCAGAGGGAGAAGGCAGACCATGCCCCAAGCCCTCTCATTCCTGTTGGACTAACTGGTAGCATGGGTCTGAGCTCTGGGGCCTCCACCTCAGAGGGCAGACCTATCTCCAGTGGTCTCCTTTGCACCCAGGGCATGGCCCATGGGGCCTCTTAGGGCAGTTCCTCTTGAGGTGGCCTGGCTTTTAACAGCGGTAGCCGATGAATGCAGTTGTCGAGTTCTTCTTGGAGCCCTGGGAATCAGACCTGGGATCTGTTTCTCTTAGTGGTGCAGCAAAAGCAGCTGCTTTTTCTCAGTCTCTTTGTTTTCTCTCCTTGGCCTCTTCCTCATCATGGCTATAGAGTACTGAGGAGGCAATTCTTACTAACATCTCAAGTGAGCTATCTGGGGTGAAAGCCATTCTTTGTAGCTTTTTCTCTTCCCTGGAGATTTTTAAAGACCTAAGCTAGCAGGTGTCCCACACCTTCCCCTCCTTCCTTCTCAGATGGCCTGGGTGCTGTCCTTTGAACACATTTCAGGTTGTCTGTGTCTATCCTTACATATGCACTTCTAGTTTAGTTTTGTTTTTTTTAATCAGAATAACTCAGAGGTAGAGTGCTTGCCTAGCATGGATTCACTCTCCAGGACCAAAAAAAAGAGGAAATACTGAACAAGAATTACATATATCATACTTCTAACCACATGGGTTGAAGTCCAGCTTCACTTGTAATTGCAGAAATGCAAATGCAATAATAAAATCATTTTTCATTTCTCACATTCACAAGCTGCACTGCTTCCCATCACCACTGCTTGATAAAATCTGACTGAATCCCGTGGGGGCAAGCAGACACTGCTGAGGAATCTATGTACAGTGACAGGACTTCTCAGAGCCCATCTTCCGCAACTGGCTCAGAAACTGCCACGACTCTGACATTTTTGTTTTTGAGTTACAAGGTCTTATTAAAACAGTTTTCAGCCAGGCGTGGTGGCACACGCCTGTAATCCCAGCACTTGGGAGGCTGAGGCGGGGGGACTGTTGTGAGTTCAAGACCAGCCTGGGCTACAAAGTGAGCTCAAGGCCAGCTTGAACTGCATAATGAGACCCTGTCTCAAATAAGAAACAAAACAAACAAACAAAAAAACCAAAAAAACCGTTTTCAAGAATACCACATTCTCAGTGTTTTGTGGCCCACTCCTGTAATCCTAGCACACAGGAAGGCTAAGACAGGAGGATCGTGAGGTCGAGGCCAGCCTGGACTACAGAGCAAGACCCTGTATCATAAAAACGATCTTCCACTTAGAAATGAGGTGGATAAGTCAATGTGTCAAAGAACATTCTTCATTCATTTCTGAACCTCCTCCCAAGGGAGGAGAGCACAGCACTAGGAATACCTGATACCTGGTGGTTAAATGGACATGGCGGACACCCTCCCTCTCCCTCTCTATTGCAGAACGCTAAACATAGCAGCCTGTCACTCCTGTGAACAGACAATGACAGATCACCTCACTAGAAGCACAATATTAGCTACATACTGCCACGGACACAAGTACTAAGCTCAGTAAATGAAAATCTTAAACAACACAACAATAATAATAGAATAAGGAATATTTTTTTTTCTGTTTCTATGTATATAGTTCACTATGTAGCCCAGGCTGGCCTAGAATTCACAGTGATCTTCCTGTCTCCACCTCCAGAGGGCTGGGATGACAGGTGTGTGCTACCAGACGCAGCTGGAATTTTTTCCATCTTTAATGCTGGGTTCATCCCAAGGCATACAGTTAGCCTTCTGTGTCCACGAGTTCTGCATGCAGAACCAACCTCCGAATGAAAATAATTGGGGAGAAATGCATCTGTACTGAACATGTAGTGGTTTTTTCCTTACGATCATCTCCTGAGCAATACAGTGTAACTACTCACAGGGTGTGCTAGGTACGACGAGTCATCCAGAGGTGATTTATGGCACATGCAAAGAGGTGCACAGGTTGGGGCTGGGGATTTAGCTCAGTGGCACAGCACCTGCCTGGCAAGTGCAAGGTCGTGAATTCGATTCCCGGTACCGGAAAAAACAAAAAAAATAAAAACAAAAACAAAAACAAAACAAACAAAAAAAAGGGGGGCGGGGCTGAGGATATAGCTCAGCGGCACAGCACCTGCCTGGCAAGCGCAAGGTCATGAGTTTGATTCCCGGTACCGGAAAAAACAAAAAAAAACAAAAACAAAAACAAAAACAAAAACAAAACAAAACAAAAAAAGGGGGCTGGGGATTTAGCTCAGTGGCACAGCGCCTGCCTGGCAAGCGCAAGGTCATGAGTTCGATTCCTGATACCGGAAAAAAACAAAAACAAAAACAAAACAAAACGAAACAAAACAAGGGGGTTGGGGATATAGCTCAGCGGCACAGTGCCTGCCTGGCAAGCGCAAGGTCGTAAGTTCAATTCCCAGTACCGGAAAAACAAAACAAAACAGAAACAACCAAAAAAAGGGGGGCTGGGGATATAGCTCAGCGGCACAGCACCTGCCTGGCAAGTGCAAGGTCATGAGTTTGATTCCCGTTACCGGAATAATACCAAAAAAAAAAAAAAAAAAAAAAAAACAGGTGCACAGGTTGCATGCAAATACAATGCCATTTCACAGACAGGGCTTGAGCACCCTTAGATTTTGATACCTGTGCGGCCCTGGAACCAATCCTCAAAGATACTGAGGTGGATGTAAATCTAAGTGCACACACACATAGATGCACGCACACACACAACTTCAACCCTAGTCCAGATCTTGATGGTGATACAGACAACACCTCCCACCTGCCCGGGCTTCCCATTTGGATGTTCTACTTACTGCTGCCTGTCTGGGTCAACATGAGGGAGACACACAGCTTACCTTTTGACCACCAGCTTCAAGGTCTTATGGGACCCTTTCACCAGGCAAATCGCTTCCTGTCTAAACCCTGAGAGGCCGACGTCATTGATGCCCACGATCTCGTCTCCGGCCAGTAACTTGTCGACAGCCGCAGCTTTACTTCCTTCCTCAATCTGTAACAGAGAAGCAAGTTCCATGAGCCTCCGGGAGAAGCAAGCAGTTCCTGAGTCCACCAAGTCCCCTGCAGGCAGCTGGGCACATGACAGGCCAGAGCACACACGGGTCCCTGATCCCGGATCCCAGAGCCGGCTTCGGGGTCAGCCAGGAGCCAAAGGACCTGGGTGGCCCCGGGAAGCTTGGAGGGAACACGGCCCCAGAGGCTGACGGCATTACAGAGGGAGAGTGTAGATGCGCCAATCCCTCCATCGCCCTCCTGTCTCCTTCCCAAGAACAGGGATGTTCTTTTCCTCATGAAGCAAGTGGAAAACTCAGAATCCAACCAGAAATAAGAGATCCAAAGACACCAATTCATCTCCTGCACTTTTGCACCATTTTTTATTATGCACTAATTATTATGCACGTACATCAATCCTGTACCTGCCTAGATTGTTTTTGTAAGTTTTATGGAGATGTAATTCAGACACCTTACATTCATTCATACAAAGCACGTACAGCTGTGTAGTTTTTGGTCTAGGCAGATTTGCACTGTTATCACCATGAACCATTTCATAGTTCCCTGGGCCCAAAAGAAATCTTGTGCTCACGAGCAGTCACGTTCCAATCCTCCCCATCCCCAGCAATCACTGCTGTACTTTCTGTGTTGAGACTCCAGAGATTTTCCCATTCTGGGATGCAAAAACATACAACATTTGGTCTTTTGCATCTGGCTTCTTTCACTTAGCAGAATCCTTTCAGAGTTCATGTATGCTGCTGCAGGCGTCTGCAGTTCATTACTTTTTATGGTCGGATAATAGTCTATGTCATGAATGGGCCACATTGCTTATCCATGGATCAGCTGGTGGACATTCATGTGTTTCTACCTTTGGTTAGGATGAACAATGCTGCTATGAGTATTGGCACATAAGTTTTTGTGTGTGCATGTTTTCCTTTTGTTGGGCGTATACCTGGAAGTCAAATCTCTATGTCCTATGGGTGGACTGACAACTGGTGGTCAACTTGTAACACCCAGCTGAACTGAGTAAGTGTGGTACTGGGTGAGGGAGGCCCAGCTGGGGACTGTTGCCAGCAGCATAAGAGGCAGAACTGGAGAAGAAGGGAGGCTGTTGGGAGCTGAGAGAGGCTGTAAGGAGCTGTTGGTTTTCTTGGAGGGGCTTGTCATGCTGGCTTTCCTGATGAACTTGGCTGTTTTCATCCTCCATGGAGCTCAGGACCTTGTTGTCTCTGAGAATGGCTTTGGTTCACTTTGGGGAAGCTCTGGTCCTCACTCTGAGCATCACTTCCTGGCTCTGGAGGGGAAGATGGTGCACTGCTCAGTCTCCTGGAGAAGCTTGTTGTGTTGGCTTTCTTGATAGGAACTCGGCTGTCCTGATCATTGGAGGAGATCGGAACCTCACTGTTGCTGAGGATGGCTGTGGTACAGCTGTGGTACCTTTTGGGGGAGCTCTGGTTCTTATTTTGAGCATCGCTTCCTGGCTCCACTGTAGATCCCTCAGCCTGCTAGCACAGATTCTTCATCCCACTGGCACAGACTTTCTAGCTTCCACCACTGTCCTTTGGGCCTTCCCAGCACAGATCCATGAAACAGGCCTGCAGGAGACACTTTTGTGGGCTCTTGGCCTCCAGCTGGACTCATGGGAGTCACTGTTATGGGCTCCAGATCTTCCGCTGAACTCATGCAGAACATTATTGCTGGATCTAGGCCCTCAGCTGGATTCTTAGGTCCTTAGTGTGTGGACAGATTTCCTGTACTCTCTTGTATATGAGTCTTTGGGTGACTATTATAAATCATCTTATAAAATATGAGTTCTATAAAATATTGTTCACCTTGCAATAAGCCCCAAACCAACACATATGGTAACTGTAACATTTTGAAAAACCATCTGACTGTTTTCCAAAGCAATTGCACCATTTTTACATTCCCACCAGAGAAGTTTCCAATCTCTCCACATCCTAATACTCTTATAATCTAGTGTTATAACCTGTGGTGTGTGTTAAGATATTCGCTATGACTCAAGGCTAAACACCATTTGTTCTGCATGCCTTAAACAATCTGGAATCTCGCCGGGGATTTAGCTGAGTGGGACAAGCACCTGCCTGGCAAGTGCAAGGTCTTGAGTTCGATTCCCGGTACTGAGAAAAAAGAAAGAAAAAGAACAAAATTTCTTCTTACAAAAAAATAAAATAAAGTAAAATAAAGCCAGACACGGTGGCGCACATCTGTAATCCCAGCACTCGGGAGGCTGAGGCAGGAGGATTGTTGCGAGTTCGAGGCCAGCCTGGGCTACAAAGTGAGTTCTCAAGCTCAGCCTGAATTGCATAGCGAGACACTGTCTCAAAAAGACAAAAAAATTTAAAAATAAAATAAAATAAAATAACAATCTGGAAACTCTGAATGTCAGGCTGAGTGTGTGGCTTATTGACAGAGCACTTGGGTAGCACGTACAAGGCCCCAAGTTCTATGCCCAGTGTAGCAACAAAAAAACAAAAAAACCACAACAACAAAAAGGCCTGAATGCCATCCATTTTATAACTTTTATTCTGGAAAAATCTGATCTTCGAATTCTTTTTTGCGGGGGTGGTACTGGAAACCAAACTCAGGACCTCATGCTTGCCAGGCAGGTGCTGTGCCACTGAGCTAAACCCCTGGCCCTTGATCTTTCAATTCCTAAGAAGTCTTTCCTATACAGTAATAATACAACTCAGTGGCAATTAACCCCAGCTAATACGTCTATTTTTCTGCACAAGGAGGTGGCGAACTATAGCAAGTAAGCCAAATCCAGCCAGTAGCCTCTTGGTTGCTATTGTTTCCCTGGAATATATCCGCAACCATTCATTTACTTACTGCTATAGGGCAGCAATGAGTCTCTGAGCCACAAAACCAACAATATTTACTACTAGGCTTATTCCGAAAAAGGTTGGCCAGCTCCTATTTACCCCCTCCCCAAAAGCTTTACAAACCATAAAGAAAGCCCGGTGGGAACTGGCGGGAGGCTCGTTCTGAGCCATCTGTGTAGTCTCTGAAGTTCCCCACTTCTCAACTCTGGGCCAGGTTAACCTGGGGTAACTTCTCCAAAAGCCAGCCCAAAGGCTCACAAAACCACTCACGAAGAAGTCTCTGTTCCAAAGCTGCTGACTTTTCTAAAATCACCACCTAGAACCCAAGACAACCAAACTCTTATGTTAAGAAAGAGCCAACACCACACACAAAATTAAAAGACCGCTCCCAACAAAAATATGAAATGATTCCTTCAGTCAGCAATGGGTTTCAAAAGTCAAGACACGCTGGGCATGGTGGTGCATGGCTATACTGCAAGCATTCTGGGAAGCTGAGGACAGAAGGACCCTCAAGCTGAGTGACTTAACAAGACCCAGTGTCAAAATACAAAAATAAATAAATAAATAAATAAAATAACAACCAAAGAAGGAAAAGAAGAGCTGGGGACACAACACAGTGGAAATGTCCTAGGTTCAATCCCCAGTAGAAAAAAGAAAGAAAAGGAGAGGAAAAGAGGGCAAGTGGGAGCGGGGAGGAGGGCAGGGAGGGGGGAGGAGGGCAGGGAGGGGGAGCAGTGGAGGAGAAGCCGGGGGAGAGAGAGACCTGGAGGCCTTGCGTGGATGGACCAAGGGCAGCTGGCCAGTCTTGACGACAGAGCACAGCGAAGTGGCCTACAGGGGGAACAGCCAGCAGGAGAAAGTACTTAAAGCCTGGTGCTGGGTTTCAAGGGGACAAAGGGAGGCCACCTATGCACAAACCAGGGCTTGGAGGATAAACAGGCACCCAGAGTGGACCCCCAGTCTGCAATACTGGTGGAAGAGGGCCGGGCCCAGCAGACAGGAGTGAGTCCCAAAAGGTTGTACAGCCCACAGTGTAGGGAGTGAGTAGGGAGGAAGCTGGCTCTGGCACGGATCCCCAGCAGATCCCCAGTACTCCAGCTGGCATCACTCAGGTTACCAGGGAAGCCAGCAATGGCATCCAGAGCCCAAGCCAGCTATCTGGTAGACATCCAGGACCACAGCGGGTGGGCGGGGAAGCAGAAGTGAATTTTACTCTTGCCTTTAAACAACTGTACATTCTAGGAGGAAGCCACCCACATGCTGTTCAAGAGGTGAGTGGATAAACGGTGGTATCTACACCATGGAATTCTATTCAGTGTTTAAAAACAGAAGGCCATCGAGGGATGTCGCTCAACAGCACGGCACCTGCCAGGCATGCAGGAGGCCTGGGTTTCATGCTCAGCACCCTCAGAGAGGATACTGTCATGTGCTACGACACGGTGAACTTTGACACATTATGCCAAGTGAAGCAAGCCAGACACGCAGAGATATGGAATCATCTGACTCATAGGAAGTACTCAAGAGTGGTCAAAACCAGACAGTAGAATGGATGTTGGCCAGAGGGTGACGGAGGACAGAATAGGCACTCGGGGTTTAGTGGGTACAGTTTCGGTTTGGGAGGACACCAACTCCAGCAAACGGATACTGGTGATGTTTGTACAACACGTGGATGTACTGTATCAAAAATGGTCAAAGCAGAACACATTTTTGTCTCTGCCAGTCCATTTTAAGTTATGCATACTTTCCTACACTAATATCACTCAGTGTCTAAAACCATGTACCCTTCTCTCTGATACCTTTCCAGTTTTTTTTTTTTTTTTTTTTTTTTTTTTTTTTTTTTTTGTTTTTCTCCGGTACCGGGAACC